GAATTTGGGCTACTGCAGGGGCAGGAAGATTTCCATGACGCTGTTTGTAATCTCCCAGGCGATCTACAATTGATTGAACTTGCAGGATATTAGCAGAGATAAATAATCAACTGTTGTATACTTACTTTCAGCTTGATCATAAGATCCGATTGGCATGAACTCCTGAACCATGGCACGCAGTGCTTCATTGTTGAGTTCCGGCTCGGGCGATTGACATTTGGGAGTTTCTGACATAGCTTAGGAGATAGCATGAGTAAAGCACATGAAATGATATGAATATACCTACAAGGTATGGGTGCACCTGGTACACCCGGAGTGGCCGGATCGGGCTCCGGAGTTGATTCATTCACTGGGGAAATGCCATGAAAGGTGACCATGGGATTGAAAGAGTAATCTCACCAGCCATAGGAAAATCGGGTATAACTGGAGCATCATCAGACGAAATCAAGGTATCCTCCGGACCAAGATACAAGTCCGGGTCATCGTACAGGGCCAGTCCATCTGCCAGAGCCGGAGATGATGGATCTGGAGATATGTGATGAATTTGCACATGTAAAATATGTACATTTGAATTGGAAAACATACCGGGAATTACATTCAACACATCCAAACCACCGGACGATCCAGAATCAGAGTCTAACTCATCATCCGGCCCAAGGTATATATCATCTAATGGATCTGAACCATGTCAGATCAATTGACTGAAATCAGAAAAAACAAAACATACCAAGGGACATCCGAGACTGGGAGGACTCATCCACATCCATTGAAGTAAATTCAGTGACCAGAGGGTCATGAAATCTGACCCCAGGTTGAGAGCTCATGATATCTGATGAGCTGATGCACTGATGAACTGATTGATAACTGATAACGTCGAAGTTCAACACATGGCCGGCGATTGCTGAAAGTTGAATGATGACCAAACAAACACAAACAATCAATGAATTTTCAACATCGTCCTTCAATTGTATTGTTTCTTTGAAACTTCATTCTATTGATAACAGATTTCACCCTGCTTTCAAATTCTCACATCTGTCAACTCCATCCAAATGTCTACTTAAGTTCAATCTACATTGGCCAACCTCAAGGCATCCACTGCTCAACTTGTGGGCATCATTGCCGGCGCCCGGCACATCCCGGCCGCCTCTGTGGACGTCCACCTTGTTCTAACAAAGCAGGTGACCACTCTTTTGGTATGTTGAACTTATTAAATTAGTGTAATATTAATGTTTGTAATGTCCGGGTAGGCTGACATCATCCGGGCCCATGAGAAAGGGGAGTACATTCCTGGAATTGTGGTGTCCTGCTCTAAGGAGCTGATGAGGGTGCGTTCCATGACTCCCCGGGCATTGCCCAACTGGCACAGCATTGGCCACAATGACCCCCGGGTGGCTAGACACGCCTGGCGCAAGCAAGTCCGTGCCTGGGAGGCGTTGGGTGACAATTCCTGTGATCTCCCTGTTGTCCCTAATGTTTCCACTGGCCCACTCACTCTCAACCTTCCGTCTCCACCTGTCCCTTCACCTGCACCTGTCCCTTCCCCCACCCCCGTCATTCCCTCACCTCCGGTCGTCGCCGGACTTTCCGGCAAGACGACCCCCGAGGTCCGGGACAAAGGAAAAGGTAAGGCCACCTCCGTCGACCTGTCGCCGGAAGTTGGGGGGAGCAACAAGAGGAAGTCTCCAATGATTTTGGGACACTCCTCCCAACCTCCAAAGTCGGTGCTGAAGGCTCGCAAGCGTGTCAAGTCAACTCAACTCCCCAAGTCGAAGCTGTTTGTGGAGTCAGAAGATGATGAGGACCCAATTGTTCAGGTATGTGTTCTGGCTGATTTCTGACATGCTCTCAATTTGTTGCAGCCGATTTCGCGTGGAGTGCCGGAGGTCGTCCTTCCCCAGCGCACCATTGTGGTAAGGAAGCCCCAGTCGCCTCGGTCACCCAGTTCCCCCAAGAAGCAATCATTTGGGCCTGCTTCAGTAAGTTTGCATTTTTCGTTTGGACTTTAAATATATGCTCATGTGTCCACAGCTGACTGCCAGCAGTCGTCCGGAGGTTACGGTGAGTCGTTTGGACATGTCCGGACCTCCCATGTATAATTCCCACTCATTCCCATTACATTAGAAATCTCCCATCAGTCGTCCGGAGGCTCGGGTAAGTCCTAGAAGTTTTCCAGAAACTCATGTGTATTAACAATCTCTCAGGCAACCTCTGGCAGGCGTCCGGAAGTTGAGGAGGAGTCCTCTGATGATACTTCCAGTGCTTCGGATGGTGACCCGCCAGCCACTACCACATTTGATATCACCATTCCCGGCCCAGTGAGTACTCAAATAAATTCCCCTTAGTCCATCTACTAACGGATACTACAGAACAACCCCTGCCATTATTGTGTCAAGGAAAATTGGCCCTGTGCGACTCGATTGGACAAGAGGTCCAGCCTCCCCTGCTTGTCTTGCATCCGCTGCTCCACCAAGAAGATCAAATGCAACCCTGCATCTCTGGGATCGCCGCCCAAACGGACCCGAGGGAAGTCTACCACCGGCCGGACGCGTTCCAAGACACCTGCCCCTGCTCCATCCAATGCTCCATCTCCCTCCCGGTCAAGGGCCCGAACTCGTAGTCAATCTCATGGCCCTTCCCGAACTCCGGCCATCCCTGCTGCAACCACACCCCAGGTGCAGTCACGTGGTCGCAGCAAGACCATCACTACCAAGAAGACACCTGCACCTGCACCTGCACCTGCACCTGTTCCTGCACCTGTCCCTGCACCTGTCCCTGCACCTGCGCCAGCTGGTAAGTCACCCATACTTTTGATGACTGGCTGACCTAATTTTTTACTTAGCAGTCAGGTCTTCCAGTGTCGCAGTGCCTCGTGCAGCACTCGATGTTCCCATGCCGGATCTCCATTCCATGGCAATCGCAATTTGGGATGGTGCAGCTTGCATCGCTATTCTTGAGGCTCGGGTGCAGGAGCAGGACGCTAAGATTGATACCCTGCAATGCCTCCATGAGAGCCTCTGGCGCACAGTGGTCGACCGGCACCCTTCATTTTCACTTCCGGACACACCGGCCGATGGAATAATGTTGCTTGGTCAAGGAGGTCCCCCCCCCGTCCATGTCACCCCTCCCCTCCGCACTTTCAAACCTCATTGATTTGGACTTTTCAGTCATGCAACCTACACCCTTGACGCCTGAGCACGAATCTGCTGTGGTAGGTCCCATGGTTGAGCCCACCCAAGTTCAGCCTGAGGGTCCACAATCCTCTGGCAAAATTGATCTCCCTGATGAACCAGGCAACCTCCTGCCAGAATCCCCCGGCGATATTGTGGTCCCTAATGAACCAGGTAACCTCCTGCCAGAATATGATTCTTCTGATGAGGAGATGGATGTTGAGGGAAAGGTTGATCTTCCTGGTGAGGAGGTTGACATGGCTACATAATTGCTCAGTGATAGATGTACATAAATGTTTTTCCATGCATGTTACCTATGCCACAATTGAATCATTCAATGATCACTCCCGATATCCAGAACTCAAAACTGCAGATTGAGGTAGATATCACCCGAAACCCGAACACCCGAATGTCAAATTATCAGTGCTGAACCCCGAGTCCCGGGTGCCAGGTACCGAGTCCCGACACCCGGAACTCAGGATTTGACATTTTAGATGAACGACATCTTCCAGACATGTTTAAATCAACCTATGTATATCTGTAAACATTTTACTAACCCCCAAACCCCAAACCGAGATGTACCAACCCCAAAACCCGAGAGTGCCAGGTCTCGGGTCTCGGGTGTCTGGAACTCGGAACTCGGTATGTCTAAACAAAAATATATTGCAAACATAGTTAATTCAATGTGTTGTCAATCAACTTGATTGTGAATCAAATTGTATTGATCTCCCCAAATTTTCCCAAGTTCCGAGTTCCGGACACCCAAAACCTGAGACCCGGCAGTCTCGGGTCTCGGGTATTGGGTGTCCGGAACTCGGAACTCGGTATGTCTAAACAAAAATATATTGCAAACATGGGTAAGTCAATGTGTTGTCAATCAACTCGATTGTAAATTAAATTGTATTGATCTCCCCAAATTCTCCCAAGTTCCGAGTTCTGGACACCCGATACCCGAGACCCGGCACTCTCGGGTTTCAGGGTTCGGGGGTTGGTACATCTCGGTTTGGGGTTTGGCACTGAAAATTTGACATATATATTTTTGTGAGTGTTGTGCTTCTGGTGTCCATGCTTAGAAATAGGATTTGTTGCACACCAGGGTTCAGGTGTGGGGTTTTTCCACTTCAGTCCTGGATTATTGGTCAATGCCACACATGATAGATTCATGTTTTTGTGCTTAGGGGTTTAGATTTGGTGGTTGATGGTAGGTATATGCACTCATAGTGTACATGTATCCTATGTGTTTGATTCGCTGGTGGCTACATCAGCTGTATGTCTTGATGGAACATATCTAGGCTCACCCATATATGTAATACACCCCCGTCAGCCTGCCCGTCTATGTAATACATCCTATGTTGGCCCACCCGTCTATATAATACATCCTACATCGGCCCACCCGTCTATATAATTATACCCCACCTCGGCCCACCTGTCTATGTAATAAATATTTTATAGCACCCTCGGCCCACCGGTCTATTTGATATCCCTTTCATCGGCCCACCCGTATATGTAATACATTCCATGTCAGCCCACCCGTCTATGTAATATTCCCCTACCTCGGCCCACCCATATATGTAATACACCCACGTCGGCCCGCCCGTCTATATAACAATATTTGCCTTACATCTCTCTTCAGCCCAGCTGTCTATAATATCCTACTCTACATATTACCCAGATGGGCCCACCCATCTCCATGAATGATCATATTCCCCCGGCCCATACGTCAACATTAAGGATATATATATCATTGGCATACATGGGCCCACCCGTCTCCATCGGAAATAATATGTGTCCCGGCCCATCTGTCATCATCAAGAATATACACAACATGGGCCCATGATCAGCTGGCCCGTCTCATACGGGATATTATGGAGGTCGGGTGGCCCGTATAATACGGAATTTGTCACTGAAGGGGCTCTGTTCGAGGGTCATTTGTTGGAAAGAGTATGCGTCATTTCTTCATTGTTGCCTTACGCTGATGTTGCTTTAGACAATGTGCCACATCTTTACAAGTCCCTCGAGTGCATATGGGGAGCAGACGCGAGCGACACGCACCTGTAACGCTGCCCTATACAACATGACCACAGTAGAAGCAGCGCATATTGCCTATGGCTGCTTGCAGGTTTGTTTCCCCAAGGTCTATTTGTAGTCATGAGTTGCTCAATTTTCAAAGGTTCGTTTTGGTATTGGCGCCAAGAACACTTGGTCAGAAGTCGACGGCAATTTCAACTATCGGGACTTCTACAACAACATTGTCGACCTCATCGAAGATTCACCCAATCCAGAATGGAAAGACGAGCTCCTCAGAGCTTGGAACATGTAAGTTTCTTTTATATTCTTCATGTCACGCTAACATGATTGATTCAAGGAAATTATTCAAGAACGAAGAAGGCCGTGAGGGTGACTCTATCACTAGTAAAGATAACAACATTTCTAGCACCTCTCATGAAGGAAGAGATGACGATCTAGCACGAGTCCATGCCCAAATGGCGGCTCGTCATGCAGCCAAAGCAGCTCCAGCACATCCTCCTTCTCCCCCACCTTCCCTTTCACCACCTCCCCCTCCTCGCGAGTCAACGCCAGCTCGTCCTTCCGAACCAATGCCTTCTCGCGAGACAACTCCAGTGCCACCTCCTACTCCCAGGCTGGTTGCTACTCCCAGGCTGGTTGCTACTCCCAGGCCAGTTCCTACTCCCAGGCTGGTTGCTACTCCCAGGCTGGTTCCTACTCCCAGGCCGGTTCCTACTCCCAGGCCGGTTCCTGCTCACAAGCCAGTTCCTACTCCATCTGCACCAGCACCTGCGCCTCCTTGCGAACCAACACCAGCCCCTCACGAACAACACCAGCACCTTCTGCTCCCAAACGAGTTTCTCCTCGCAAGCTTCCAGCTCCATCAGCACCAGCACCTGCGCGTGCTGAGTCGCCCACCCCCAGTGATCTAACGGGGTCCAAGTCAGACAATGAGTCTGAACCTGTCCAGGTCAAAGGTAAATGCAAGGCCAAGAAGGGGAGCACCAAGGTCTCTAAGCCAAAGTGTGGCAAGGCTGCCCCATCTGCAGAAGCCAAGCCATGGAGAAGGTCAAGGAAGTAGCTGTCCCCTGCCTCATACATCATCGCACGTTCTCCTCTTATTTGCATTGCTCACAGACCCCCCCCCCCCCCATGTGTACTTTCATTTTCTCGTTGTCATTTGCTACTGTGCTGTACTACTGACCTACTCATAGATCACTCGTTTTCCCACTCTGTTGTCTGCTCTTGATTACCTGCATTCACATACATAGGCTCGGAACCATTGTACCTCACTGCTTTGTACTACCATTAATTCAATGCATCACATTGTTATATCTGAACGCAATTGCAATGTCTGATGAATCTGAGCGAAATTCAAATGCATTATGTACATAGCAATGTTTGATATATCAGTACACTAGCCTAATGCCAGACTATAGTCGTATGGCAGTCGCAATGTCAGAATTGAGTTTCCTAACATTGCCTTATATTGGGACCTTCCGCCAGATACATATGGCAGGTATTGTAGCTCCGACATGGCAATATATGGCCATCTCTGGATTCGGTAATTTTGGTGATGCACGTCTTACCTAAGTTTAGGACTTTTGGTGATGGACTTACTGTCCATTGGTATCAAGCTTGTGAGTGTCAACATATCACCTGCTCTCTTACTCTCACTGACAATGTTTGCTGTTAGGCACTAAAAGATGGACTCGAACAAAAGGCATCCCAAGATGATTCAAGAGTAAAGAATACACCCCGCTCTTCGCTCGATGACAAGTACGTGCCATGTTTGCAATCCTTCTCATTCCATATAGAAATAACATTCCAGGCTAATGCTACACGTTGTACTGACCAGCTTGGCGATGTCGATGAGCTCTCACCAACGTTTTTTGACGGCATGGAAGCCGAAGTTGATGTGCGTAATCATCATTTTTATTGTTTAGTTCTTATCAAGAATTCTGCTCTCAGTCCTCCCCGATGGATGGTGCATGCCCCCATTCCTCTGTAAATGCACTTTTCGCTCGCCTTTCCTCGCTCCTCCTCCGCTTTCGACCCCAAAGTAGTGAAGCAAACGAACTGCTGCAAACCTCAAGGCCTTCGGCGTTCTGTCCACATGCACTCCTCGCTCGCCTTTCCTCGCTCCTTCACCGCTTTTGTTCCGAAACTGATGCACCAGACGAACTCCAGCAATCCTCCATCCCTTCGCGGTTAGGTCCGCATGTGCTCTAGGCTCGCCTTTCCTCGGTTTTCCCTCGACCTCGACTCGGCACCAACGAAGAAGCTAAACCTCATCTTACAACGTCTTCCAGTTCGCGTCCAGATGCATTCATCAGCTGGCTGTCCTCATTCTTCCGCTCTCAACCCCGCAGCGAAGATTAACTCGAACTCTCGCAAGGCACACTGCATTCTCATACTGTCAAAGCACCCGCCATGCGGGACAGGGAGGTGTGTTTTTCTCCGGTGTGTCAATTTATAGTGTCTCATGATTTTTATGCAGGTCTTGTTTGTTGCTGAGCCACTGCGCTCAAATTGTACACACAGCCTCATTGCGCCACAATACCAAGTGCAAGACCTGCGCATTTGCTACCCCTCCGAATGTTGGCTCATCCCATACTTTCTCTCCGCTGCGCATCCCCTCAGCCCGTTGGCGGCAATGCACACCCAACACAACAGCGGGAAGGCCAAGCGCAGGCTCATGCCACATCATCGCAAACGTAGCACCAGCAAGGTCAATCATACAGTCAATCGCAGACTCAACCTGCTGCTTCCTCCATGTCCGTGACACCTACTGCTCTTTATGCTCATACTACTGCGCCAGGTGCAGCCACTCCTCCACCTTCCATTGCGGACACGCTTCGTTCTTTTTCTGCTATGAATCTCTTCCGCATGCCAGTTAGGCAATAAAGCTGTAGCGTCTGGACACCTATCTCATTCTTGCTTCTGGTGCTTTTGTAACTATTGTTATTGCTTTGTCCGCGTTAGGTGTGTATCTAATCTATCAAGGGCCCATTAAGCAACCGCTCGTTTGTGTCCGTTTAATATGAATTCATGATGTTAATCGATTGCAGTGTACATACGGTTTATCAAGCATTATCTTTCTTACCAGAGCAGCTGCTGTGCTGAAGACGAGTCCTCACGATCAAGAACGGCTCATGAAACTCTTTTTTCAGGTCCACTCAGAATCCCCAAAGGTCATACTCTCCTTCATCGACACCACAACCTCTGACTTGAACGCTCGGTCGAAATTCTAGACTTGTGACCATCTCTTACTCAAGCTTGATGGACCACGAGGAAGACTGCGCACGGTCGATCATCTTCAGATAAGTTCAAACATCCACATTGCTCGAGCAGCACGAAAATTTGTCCGAGCTTAGCGAACCACGAGCAAGACTAGCCACGGTCTCATTTCCAGTCAAGTTCAAACATCCACATTGCTCGAGCAATACAAAAGTTTGTCCAAAGAACAACTGTGCTAATCGACTCCGGACTAGGTATTGCACTATTAACCATGTATCAAAGCGAAAGTAGAAGCATGACTCGCCATTATGACGTGCCACTCGGACTGCCGGCTCAACGTTTAATTTTCAACCCATATGTGCAGTTCAAAGCTGCCGTAGTCTAAAGCGCGCAGGTGAGTCACGTGGTTGAATCCTGGTTCCACTGTTCATGCTCACGACATTAAGGTTACAGACCCAGTATAAGCAGCAATCATCATCTGCTGTGCATGGTGTTTCACTACATGCGCTGACAGACATGGATGTTGTCAAAGCAACAACAACGGCGAAGAAGAAACGCATTTTCGGTGCGAGGCGATATGTAATTTTCTGAGGGAGATCTCGAATGATATCTCTGAGGATGGGGAAACACTGTAAGACGGCAGCTATCTTTGTATGCTGATAGGCACGATCCTAATTGATTTGGCAGAATTGTTATTGCTATCAAATGACCAAATTTTCGGTAGAACCTGCAGGATCAAGCTTAGCGGACCACGAGCAAGACTTGGCACGGTCTCATTTCCAGTTGAGTTCAAACATCCACATTGCTCGAGCAGTACGAAAGTTTGTCCAAAGACAATCCTACTAATCGACTCCGAACTATTGCACCATCGCCATCAACCACGATATCAAAACGAAAGCGAGCCATGGCTTACTGCTGCGACGTGCCGCTCGAACTGCTGGCTCAATTTTTCAAATTTCAGAGGTCAAATGTGCCGTATTCTAAGGCGCGCAGGTGAGTTACAATCCTGGTTACACTGCTCATACTCACGTCATCAAAGTTACAAATCCAAACGAAGTCTACGCAACAAATATCATCTGGTGCGCAAGGTGTTTCGGCATGTGCACTGACAGACACGGATGCTGTTAAAGCAACAACAACGGCAAGGAAGAAGAAACGCATTTCCAGTAGGAGGCGATATGGAATTTACTGATGGAGATTTCGAATGATATCTCTGAGGATGGGGGAACACTGTAAGACGACAGCTAGCTTTGTATACTGAGGGGCATGATTCTAATTGATTTGGCAGAATCGTTGTTGCTATCAAATGGCAGAAATTTCGGTAGAACCTGCAGGAGCATGTGCAGACGTCGTCACCTGCCCGCATTTGAAATGTAGGAAATCCTGGCAGGTGGCAGCGCTGCGTTTCGAACAGATCGCATAATCGTTTTTCAAAGCTTCACTCTAGGTTCGCACTCCACGGACTCTGCTAGATGCTATTGATGCTCTCCCAGAGACGTCAATATTATTCCTTTGGCAGTTCCTAACATCAGAGCCACGTCAACACCACCTGCTCGTAGCTCAATCATATGAAAATGAGTTCCTTGTAGGTGACGGCGCTGCATTTTGAACAGATCATAGAGGTTTTTTTCCCAGCTTCACGTTCTAGGTTCATACAGCTTGACTAGGTTGGATGATCGTTTAGGCATTATCGATATTCTCCCAGGGACATCAATATTGGAAGTGTCTAAAATTGGAGTCGTAGCATGACACAAAACAAGACGAAATATCGTTTGAAACCAGTTGACTGGCAATCTGGGCAAACTAATATACCTTCAATGGCTCTCTCCTCATCTCGACGTCTTTCAAAGATCGATATCGATGAATGGACCCACTCAAGTTCGAGCTCTCCCCTTAGTCACTGCTACTGGACGCCAGACCACTAGGTCCGGTTCACTGATGCTAGTCAAACAGATTACATAGTTCAGAGCTAGATGGACCACATCAATCGTACTAGCACTGTTGATCCCACCACGTGCGTGTTACTGCATATCTATTAAGTAGAATTGGCCCTCGTTGGCGATGCCGAACCGAGACTACAGCAGGAAGGGGGGAGCAACCTTCCTACGGTGTCCTTGGGTTTTATTAGCCCTCAGTACTGGTACGACTCGTGCGAGTAGCTCAGATGTGAGACAAAAATAGTGCATGCAATTTCAAACTTACGCTCATATATCAATGCACCGAATTTCATGTAATTGTAAGACACTAAGCAATCAACGAGGCGCATATAGACAGGACAGACATCATTGAAGATAGTTGATGCACCGGATCTCCATTGCATTTCAGACTTCCGGCATTGCCTCCTGCTGCTTTTTCTCGCTGGAGCATTGACCAATATGAGGCATTGCGATGATGCCAGACTACAGGCTCACCTCCGTCTGCTCGAGGTATACTTTCAGCTTGTCAAAATGATCGTAGATATTCCGTTCCAGCATCATGCCATTGGAAGGGTCGTCTACAAGCCTTTCCATGTTTTGAATAGTTTCTTCGGACATTCCTGAGTAATGCTGAATGATATTCCACGTTGCAGCAGCGCTATGTGCCTGCATAATCCAACTTGAGGGTCGATATTAATGATAACCTAACACCGACATCCTTACCCGGTCCATGGTGAAAACCCCAACAGCCCGTTTCAGGATGTGCGTTGCTTGTAAGGTTATCCAACCCTGTTCGACACCTGCGGGTATGTGTGCTTCATCCCATATACCTGAAACAGCGCATTTATAACCATCTCGTCGATTAACCTGTTGGAAGTTAACGCCGATAGCTACTTTTTAACTAGTAGAACGTGCATCGGTCCTGAATTTTCTACTCCGTTTCGTACCAGCAAGGCTACCATATGTGTCGTCAACGGTCGACGTGAACTGACCAGAAACCAAATCTGATGGTTGATGGGCCCCGGCTGTGACTATCAAGGGAAAAACTGTGTTAGTGTCCGTGGCAAACATTTCAAAATTCTAACTTACATGGTCATAGCAGATACATAAACCAAGTCCGCGCGAGGTTGACTTGCTCGTGGATCTTTTGGCATGCGCAAATAGCACAGGCGGTATAACGCTCGGAGCTTTCGCCACCAGTCCCGTGAGCGTTCCTCAACATAGCGTCTAGAATCCTGGATGCATCCACGTCATGCACGCTTGGTGGAGTCGTGATCCATCTGTTTCGATTAGTCGCTAGCTGTTCTATTATTTGTCGAGCCTGCTCCACGTAAGTCGCAGTGGATATGACAGCGTTTTGCATGACCAAATGCACGTCCTCATTGAAGCTGATGACGGATTCAGGTTCGCTGATGGTTTCGCTCAAGTCGCTGATGTCACTTGCGTTTCGTGAATGATGCATGTGAGACGTTGGAACAATATTTGTGGTAGGATGCCGGGGTGGTTGTTGTTAGTTATGACTCTGTTACTGATGGGGCGCCGGCTATGATCACGATTGATGATTTTTTTGACTCTTCTTGGGCTGTTTTCGCTTGATACTCCACCTAGGCGGCCCTCGGGTTGAGGGTGATTTGTTTCGAACTAGATCTTCAAAGCTTCAAGGGTTTTTGCACTGCTAGTCAAACAAAACGCGTATTACTAAGTAGTAAGTAGCTATAGTATTAAGTAATAGTACTGATACGTGTCATGTACGCGTGGGATGTTCGCCCTGAAGAGAATGACCACCATACTTCTCATTCTCATTGGTACCAATACTGTCAGTGTCGACATATCACTCGCTCTTTCTCACTGATAACGTCTGCTGTTAGACACCAAACGATATACTCGAACAAAAGGCGCCTCGAGATGCTTCAGAAATACAGCACACACCCCGCTTTTCGCTCGATGAAAAGTCATTTTTAAAGGTACGTGTCGTGTCTCCAATCCTTCTAATTCATCATAACAGTAACATTCTGCAGGCTGGTTCTCACGCTGTACTGACCAGTTTGGCGGTGTCGATAAGCTCTTACCAACGTTTTTTGCTGGCATGGAAGCCGGTGTTGATGTTGATGTTGATGTTGATGTTGATGTGAGTAATCAGTATTTCTATTGCTCAGTTCTTATCTGGACCTCTGCTCTCAGTCCTCCTGAACGGGTAATGCACACCTCCATTCCTCTGCAAATGCACTCATCGCTCGCCTTTCATCGTTCCTCAACCGCTTTCGACCCAACAATGATGAAGCGACCGAACTTCCGCAAATCTAAGGCCTTCGGCATTCCATCTACGTACACTACTCGCTCGCTTCATTCACCACTCTCCACCTGAAAGTGACGTACCAGACAAAATTCAGCAATCCTCCATACCTTCGCGGTTAGATCCACCCGTGTTCCTAGCTCATTTTTGCCTCCACCTCGACTCGGCACTGACGAAGGAAGCCGAAACTCATCCCACAACGCCTTTGATTTCGCGTCCAGATGCACTCATCAGCCGGCCGTGCTTACTCTTCCGCTCTCAACCCCACACCAATGAGGAAATCGAACTCCCAAAATTATATACGCAAGTATGCAAACTACACTAATGCACCAATCGGGTACATATCATTTTGCTGGGCTACTGTAATCACAACGACGAACAATCATTCGGAGTTCAAACTCCATCACCACCACTCCAGGCAGTGCTTGCTGTCTTACCGGCTGAACCTGACCCGTCCAAGTATCAATGTTTTGTATATCCTGGTGGCCACCCAATTCTTTAGGCAATTGCAAAAGGCTGTGGTCAGTTAACTCTGGTTGCATGATCGGTATTGTATCGGATGTTAACGGTAACATAGGATGGTCCTCGGCATGTATTTTTTGACGATTGCAATACGCGGCGGAGTACCTGCTGTAAGCTGAGCGAATCAAAACTGATACAATGCAGGCGTTTTGGTCAGCCTGGCCAAACGCTACAATTGCAACACGTGGTAGAGTACCGGCAACCAGCAAGAATCCGAGCGAAGCAAACTGGTAAGATATCGGTGAGGATAGGCCGGGCAGGCACTTTGAGAAAATATTGCAAGATACGATCATTTGTAAAGATGTATTTGAATCCGAGGATAAAGATGTCCGTGGAGTCTGATGGTTCCTTACTGAGCCCCAGTCATCATCAAGGCTATGCATAGCACTGTCCGCAGTGCCAATGAAGCAGCAACCAGGATCACGAACATATGCAGTCACCAATCACAAGGCGCCTCAAGTTTCCGTTTTTGTCCTTTTTTCTGTGTTATATCGATTCAACAGCGCCCGTTCAAGATGATCACAGATTTTCAGAATGTGTGGGAAGCTCGGTCACGCGTGTGTCAACAATCGTACTTAAGTGAGGTTTGCAGTGGTTTGGACCTTTCTGACTTGCAGGCGAGTATAGGCATAACAGTTTGATCTTTGTTTCAGAGATGTCTTATGTCTCAGAGGTTGCGGATTTGCAGATATCCAAGGTACGCAAAAATTGCGACTTGATAAGTTTGATGCTGACCTGACATTTGATTCAGTACACCAATAGTAAGTACTTGTGGGTCGTCCGCGAAGCAGGTGACGATACTGATTAGGTTGTATCCTCAGTTGGTAGTCTTGCAATTCTCGTGAGTACCGAGCACATTCGTCATGTTGCCAGCTCAAATGATGGCTCTTTTCGGTGTCTTAGGTATTTGATTACTGCATCACGTTTCAGGATGAGGTCAAGAATATGATCTGTCTATGATTGTGATTTTAACCACTCCCTACAGGTACGCTGGACCTGGTCCAGGCCATGGGGTTTAATTCGTGTCGTCTTCACTATTTCTCGATATCTCCCTTTCGTAGGCTCTGGATTGACTGCATATGGTGAGTCACCCACTCTGGTGATTCTTATCTTTGCATATAGTTGATGGCTATCTTAGCTGCACTACGTGTCGGTGGTCCAGTAAGTATACGCAGGAAACAGATCCTAACGATAAGCTGATTGTATTTATGGCACAAAGTGCCCCCCTAGTTTGGCGGAAAATAGTAAGTCATCTCACCCAGTGGTTAATTTTGTCTCAACCTATCAATGCGATCTTCAGTTATTCATATTTTAAGTATCGTTGCTGCGGAAGGTGCGAGTTGCATACATCACCGTCCTTGCAAAGAACAGGGTAGATCATGCTTCTGTGACAGGCCTGCTAGTTATTCGGACCTGGGCATTCTGGCAAAAGAGCAAAAAAATGCTGATTGGATTATTGATTTATAGCACCGTGCGTGTTCCACAGGGTTGGTTTAAGGGTATACTAGATCTTTGACTTTTCGATAGGCCACAGTAATTGGCGCCGTTGCTATGAATGTCCTTCCTAATCACCAGTTGATTTCAACAGGCGAGTTCGTTCATATTTGCCAACACGTGTTGTTTTAATATGACCATCAGATGTATCTATGATACCCGGCCCATGCGGCTTTGAGTCGTCAAGAAACTCTGCACTGGTATATACTATATTGGCACTTTTCGAATGTGGTCAGTGATTATGCAGGCATACCGTTGGGCACCTGACCTACAAGCAAAACTTGGCAGTGATACTAGCCCTTACTGCGTATAAGTGGTTCCGCGACTACCGAGACTCGGAAATTCAGAGCTCGATCGTAACCACCGTCTACGGCGGTAGCATGCTTTATATGCTATGTATCATCGGTACGTGGAAATAATTGGCTCAAAAGTGAACATCGTTGTGTATTTCGTTTCACGAAGCCATCACAGTGACCAACGTGGTTGTCGATGCAGCATTTCCGGTATGTGTACATGTCTGTCAAACTATAGTCACTTATCTTCTGTTACTTGGCTGCAGGTTGGCTTCACAAATCTGTTTGATACGTATGTCTCCGGTTAAATTGATATCGGCTGCCAACTACGAACTGACTGCATTTAGGCTACAACTTGTCATTCATAGCGTCCTAGCCTCGCGGATTCTATTCCACCTTCGGAGCAGCGACAGTCATGCCCATGAGACAGATATACCATTGATTTCGGCTCCCCGCTACGGACAACCTTCGCAAATACAGACGAAGGAGATCAAAGATGAAACTAATGAAGTTTGAGGCGACTCGGAGCTTAGCGGTTTGTGCTCGGAATTGGACACGATTGTGTTGAGTAGCCCTCTTTGGTTGTGACTACGAATGCGCAGTATATGAACAATTTTATGACGATGCATAGGTAGAAACCAGTCCATGAGCAGGCGCTCTTGCGGTATTAATGAGAGGAAAGGTAGAGGTAGACGCCTTGAGATTTCATCTCGGCTCGGTCAAGAACCACACCGTCTATGAGGGAGAGCTCGTAGGGATGATATTAGCGGTAGAGCTGCTGAGGAGAGAAGCAGGCAGGAAGGACTCGATGGCACTAGGCGTGGACAACCAAGCAGCAATTTTAGCGACGCAGGCCTTCAATTCAAAGCCAGGGCATTACCTGATGGATATCCTTCACGACGACCTAAGAATCGTCATTCCAGAATTTGACCGACGGAAACTCACCATACGATGGTCCCCAGGGCACTGCGGCATCCCAGGGAACGAAGCAGCCGATGTACACGCGAAGCGCGCTGCAAGAAAAGAGACGTCAGATATCAATCAACTCCCCACATCACTCAGACTACAAAACTCCCCCATACCACTCCCCCGCAGTAAGGCAGCAGCCAAACAACAATTCGACGCGAAGGTGAAGAATGAAGCCATCACGGTCATGAAGAAGTCTCCGCGGTATGAACGCCTTCGCAAGATAGACCCCTCCGTTCCATCTAAACACTACGCCAACCTAACAGCCAAACTTTCGAGACGTCATAGCTCGCTCATCTTCCAGTTTCGAACCGGCCACGCTCCGCTGAACAAACACCTCAACAGAATCAATAGGTCCACTACCCCAAAATGCCCCAGATGCGACAGAGAAGAAACCACTCACCACTTCCTAATAGCATGCCCAGCGTACGCGAGACTCAGAATCGCGCTCATAGATGAAGTCGGAACACGCGCACGAGACCTGAAATACCTTCTCAACCACCCAAAATGCATCAAACCCACACTCAGATTCATAGCCAAGTCCAAACGCCTAGAGACAATTTTTGGAGACGTAACCCCGCCGACCGATGACGAAGAAGAGGAGGAATAAAGAACGAGAGGAAAAAGACATAGAAAAGAAAAGAACACGAGAGAAAATAGAGATGAGAGATGAGCGCTCCAGACGTAGAACCTTCCCCACCCCATATCGCCTTCAGGAATCAGTTGGCCTTAATGCACCCCAAGAGGGAGCCATTGCATAGCACATACGAATACTGACAAGTTACATATATAGATACAGAACGACGCAGCATGTACTGTCTACTATAGGGCGCGGCCCCAGCGGACAATAAACACTGATCAAAAAAAAAAACAAAAAAAAAAAATGAACAGGCTCTAAACAAACTTATTCATGTACAGCTTGGTAAGCTTCAAGTTATTCACCTCAGCTTGCTTGGCCGTCGCAGGCCGCTAGCCCTGCTTCAACGTTTCCGATCGTCATCAAGCCATTTACATCATGGTTTTTCGATCTTGTTTCGATCACTTGCTCCAAATGTGCATCCAAGCGTGCGCACTGCGATCGAAGAACCCTTTATGCGGTGGAAGCTTCGTGATGGCATGTGTGTATGTTGATGTAAAGGAGGCATTAAACCATGAGGAGTCAAATATGAGCGCTAGCGCTTGAGCACATACGTGTGGAACTTGCAAACTCTAACCCATGTCGCTGGTGCCATGTCGCTCTAGAAACTCGCCGCCTTCAAATTTCGGCATTACTACCTAAAAATGGGTGAAGGATTGGAAGGGCTTTCCTGCAAGTGAGATTTTGAATGGCTGATAGGTTCGAGCTGTAAATCTGATAAGGACGCAGATAGAAATACTTATACCCCTGATGGCAGCTTCAGTCCGCGGGCCCTGACGCTTGTGATGTATCGATACGTACTATAGCTCGACATCGTCAGTGGCTGGCAAATTAAATCATGATCGAGTAGAGCTGACAGTCATGATGTAACATGAACATACGGAAGGAACAATCGTGTTGTCTTTTCGAGTATTTGGTTGACCATAAAGGCCACCTAGCGGTCGCTACTAGCATATCGAGTCGCTCCCTGAATTAAGAGAGGAATGAATCGCAATCAAGCCATCCTATTCTGTGTTGGATACGGCAAGTAAGTAGTGTCTTGTTTGAAGACGTTGATGAGGCAGGCTCTATGAGAAGATCGAATGTTTCGGCACAAGTCGATCAAAAGTGTATAAAGATTAAAGAAACAAGCACATAGGTATTAAATATCAAGAGTTCTACTAGAAAAGTAAAACACCAGAGGTATATCACGATTATGTGAAAAATTTGGAATGGGCGAAAATGCCAAACCATACACTAGCAGACAGAAGACACACCAAGCTGACATGACGCTGCATAAAAAAATCGTCCAAGAATTTGCCGAGAGTCACAACTCCTATAAGAGAGTTAATGTAATTCGCCCCAAGGAGGATGATAGAAAGAGCTGCCAGGTAGAATTCCAGCGAGTCAACACCGAAACTGAAACCAAACCGAAGAAATATGCATACCGCCCAGGATAGATGCCAAAGAGTAGGCAAGACAGAATTGCGACATACGAAACAAGCCGACGTGATACAAGACATCGTAACGTCCCAACCCAAACGGTTTCTTGTCCTGAGTATTATTTGAGTCAATGACAGCTGCACGAATCGAAAAAATTCCTGCCTTTTTACCAATTTCACAAAGCTCTATCATCAAATTTGATCTGAAAAAGCACACCTGGAAAAGTAGTCCTACGACAGAGAATATGGACGACATGTGTAACAGCACAAAACAATACTCGATGGAAGTGGCGTCGAAATCTTGAGCGCCGTGTGGTATATTCCAGATGCACACCATGCTCGCAAGAAAAACCAGTGCTTGCTACGAATGCGAATCACATCAATTTTGTACAAACAATGATGGAATGAACGGTAAACTCACGCCCACATGGAGACCTACCGCCTCGTGGTGCAAGCGATCATTATACTCCTGCCAGCCCGTTTCCTTTTCCACCTCGCGCCATAATTTCTCGAGATTAGGCTGGTTGAGGATGAGAGTGCAGAAAAACGCAAAGGTCTGCTGAGCGCGGGACCCCAAGGGAGGTTTCCAATCCTCGGGAAGTTCTGGGAGTTTCTTCTCGACACTCCCTGACTTTGTGTTGGACATGATTGGAGGTGGCTGTTGTTGGGTAGAAGTTATCTAAATGGAGAGCGTTCGTGAGAGAAGGTCAATGGGAACAGCGTATACTTACCTCGGAGTTCAAGTTATACTAACTCACAAATACAAAGTGAGCTGCAAAGGCGAGGAACACGCGAAGAAGACACAGAAAAACGACTTACAAAGCCCCGAAGTGCAGATTATTTGAGGGGGCGCACGGACCTAGTATGTAGAAGCATCGCAGTAGACGATCTCCGAGGAGGCGCAGCACCAGGACCGGGTATGAGCTGTCTATAAGCAAAAAAGGAAATTGAATGTAGTTATAATGACAAGGATATTACTGTGACATGCACGGTACACAACACTGAGGAGCGCGCAACTTACGATCACCCACCGGTAATACCCGAAAAACCGTCGCGCTTGTTTGATTGCTAGATCGATCGATCGATGTGTCGCTGTGTCACTCGATGTTTCCTACTGAGTCAAGTGATAAGATGAATCGACATGAATGGTACAAAAAGTTTGAATTTGTAAAGAAAACGGCTTCAAATCCTAGCTCATAAGGATACTACGTATTCCACTAGGGAATAGTATGAATTGCTATTGAATGCCATAGAAGATAATGTACCAAAATGCCGAACCACACGTACCCAAATCGTCGATAGTACAACAAAGTAAGCTTTGATTGATCTTTCATAAAGATAGCGTCCAAGAATCTACCAATTGTGACAGTCGCCATAAGAGAGGCTAAAATATGCGTCCTGGGAACAATAATGCAAAGAGCTGGAAGACAAGTCAGTACCGACATGAAATAAAACGAGGGATGCTTACCGCCCGCGAGACACCCAAAAGAGTAGGCGAGAAGAAACCGTGCCATACGAAACTGGCAAACGTGAAACAGGACATAGCAACGCTCCACCACGAACGGCTGTTGACCCTGAGTAAACAATTTTGATCAATGATAGAGCTGAATACTTTGGGAAAAAACCTACCTCCTCACAATTATCGCCTGACTCCAATAACGCGGCGGATGACCCAAACAACACCTGGAAAAGCAGTCCCATAGCGGACAATATAAACGACCAAATTAAGGACACGAGATAAAATTCCAGGGAATATCCTTGCAGATATTTAGCAGCCCATGAACTCATCAGGCATGCAAGACTCGCAAACAATACTAGTACTTGCTGCAACAACAAATATGTCAGTCGTACAAGTCAGAATGGTAATAAATGGTATACTCACGCCTATACGAAGACCCGCCAACTCATCATACATGTGGTTGTTATACGTCTTCCAGCCATTTTCCTTTCTCACCTCCTGCCATACTTCATCGAGATCGGGCTTGTTGAAAGTGAATTTACAGAGGAAGGTGAAGAAATCCTGAAAATAGGGATCTGAGGGAGGTTTCCAGCTATCAGGAATGTCTGGCAGCTGTTTTTCGCTCTCGCCATGAGTTGCAGAAGGCGAGACGGTATCCGCCGTTGTCGTGTCGAACGAGGAAGTAATATCAACTAAGCTATCTGGATCTGTGTTATACATGGTCACAGGAATCTTGTTGAGCTTTAGAAATTGGCCTGTTCAATTTAGAATGATTATGATAGAAAGTCAGCGGGAACAGCGCTTAGGTTGTACCTGCCTAGCGTGTTGAAGTAGCAAGGTTGAGGTTTCGAACGAAAGGGGGCTATATGCAAAAAAGGAAATTATTGTTAATGAGTGACGTAAGTTACACCGGGGAAGCACTCCTATCTTAGCCATGGCCTACTACGCGCAAATGCCATCTCCTCTAGACCACATATGTTGTATGCCTGTCACAGCCCAAAATAGTGACATTGAAATAAGACTCAGCTCTGTCATGCTCGCCTACCATGAGCTCGATACATGCTGAACCATAATATTGGTCGAGCACCTTGCTATACTGATTGTCCCATTTCTTGAGCAGCATAGCTGGAGACCAGCCTGCATGTTGCTGTGCAGCGTTTGCGAGTATGTTGATGGAAAGAGGGCGAAAATGGATAAGGTCCTCTGTCTTCTTCGGCTTCACTATGACTGATGGCATGGCGATAAATTTCAAAGAACACTCAGCTCATTGAGAATGACATTTGTAAGAGAACTCTTTCCCATGCCCGCCAGACCAATCAATCCAATATGCTCGTCATTGGTGACAAGGTTCATCACCACCACAAGATCATTGTGGTCACACAACATGGCTGGCCGCAATGGTGGCTCAGTTAGGCGATACCTAGTCATATTTAGAGAATATGCACAACCCGACAAAATGGCGACTTACTTTGGAACATTGATATTAGTAGTATTGAGTCCCCAAACGAGCTTGTTCACACTTATTGCAATGCGAGTGATTACTTCAAGCTTGATATCAGCGGCAAATTTGAAATGGTGATAGAGAAGAGCCTCTACCAAAATCATTGCTCCAGCTTTGAGGCTGCTTCACTATTCTTGAAGCTAATCGAACCGATTGGTATCGTCAGTTACTATTGACAACCTGATGTCATGGATCTTAAGGTATCGGCAGGCTGATTGTGCGATGACGTTGGCTGTGCCATTGTGTTTGCTCATATACTCATTTTGCCTTCTTAATTGTGGCCCCCGAGTAACAACCGAAGTTTGAACAAAAATTATTGAACCGCGACAATTATAATCGCACCAAGGAGACATACCTTACTCGTCTCACGCTGCAGCCACTTCGACAACACAAGGACGGCTTGGGCATTGCGGGAGTTCAAAGTCTTCATTGGTGTGGGGTTGAGAGTGGAAGAGCGAGAACAACCAGCTGAAGAGTGGCATCTGCACACGAACTGAGCCCAAGTTCACAATTACAATTCACAGGAGTGCAAATTAATGACTTTCGGCAAACCAGTAATCTGCAGGTCTCACCAATAACATGTCTATATAAACTCAATCCTTGGATTTGGACATCTGGTTAGCTAAGTAGAGTCAGTGTGTATATACCTGGAAAAAAACTAGCGCAACATACCACCAGCCCTGGAGCTGATAAGTGTTGGAACACCATTTCTCCTCTGCTCAAGTCACGCCGGGGCCCCAGTCGGGTATTGGACCTTTGTTCGTCTGACTCAGACCCTGAACAGCATCTGTGGTAAACGGGACCCAGCTTTTTTGTCCACTAGTAAATAGAAGCGGTGAGATGGAAAAAGATCTGATCAGTCGATATGAAAATAATTCAGAACCGTTCTTGAGTCCATAAGCAATCCTAGACTATCCCAAACCGAAAAGTCGTACTAGTAGATGCAACAGCGGAAATTCATCGGGTCCTGTCTACGCGATTGAGAAGTTGGTCTGTGTGTGAGCCTTGGACATGTTTCTCCAGTAATAAATTTCAAGTTGGATATTGATGTGGGACAGTGAACTTGGGTTCTACCATTTAATTATGCAACTGCCAATATTGATGTACTGCCTCAATTCGACTCAATTCACCTTAGCAGTAACACTACAAGGAGGCCGAGTCAACTTTAGATCAAAAAGGCTCTTGTTTCTAGATTTTCGATTTTCAGATGCCGTGAGATAGCAAAAACAGCAAAGCTCAGCCCTCAGAAATGTTAACCATGTAGTGATGGCCGAGTTCAGTTCAGAACCGCGGTTCGAACTCGAACTGTTATGAACTTGACCGAAGTCCGGTCCAAGGTTTGGGCAATGAGAGGAACCAAATCGTTGGTCCAGTTCCCGGTTTGACGACCTGTAGGAATTGCTGAACCTGTTCGAACCACGGAGATACATCAGACCGGTGGAGATCTGAAAACAGTATGTTGTACTCTAATATTAGTATTAGTTGTACCTTTGAAGTGAAATAAAGATATACCTGGCCGCATCTATGTTTGATTTGCTGGTTCACGTGATTCAAGTTGCTTGACACATTGTTGACCACGGTACAAGCTCAACTTCTTTCGCTCGTCTTGTATATGATTTTGCTCTATACAGTGATTGATCTAAATTAATCTACATTAATTTGACAGATATTGAGGCTTTACTCTCGGCGGCATGCATCTGTGAGTCGGACTCCTTGACGACACTATGTTTTAAAACCACTCGACGAAGTTAAGTTCAATTTTCAATTGGCGACTCATGTAATTTGTTGCAAGATATGTCTTGACCCATCACCTCCATTTCCATAACCTGTTTGCACTATTCGAAAGGTATATTAGCTGGTAAACTGACTTATCATTGACCGAACACAACTCATGATGTCTGACAGTGCTGTTGGCCCAAACGGCAAGCTAAAAGATGCGTCCAAAATGGTATGGTTCAATGATGTGGATGATGAGCACCCTATCCCCTCCTCATCTATGACCACTCCATTACATCCATTCTTTACTGGTGCTGCTCCCCCTGCAGCTATCATAGCTGGCGCTTGTCGTTCTACTTGAGCACCTCGACCTTCGACGAGGATACTGGATCCTGACAATGTTGCATCATCCAGTACCGCCCAAGGTAAATGAAAAGCTGCCGATGATCTAGCTGTTACCAGATGACGGGTCGCACGCAAGACTATTGCAAGCCCTACTTCTTCCATTCACAATGAAGAATCCGATGGTGATGTTAATATTGGTGGTACTGATCTCGACCATCCTGATGCAGTAGGTGGTGACACTGAAGCTGAGGATGATGTGGAGCATGTATATGCATCAACAAAAGCTATGGGAGATGCGGACCATAAGGTGAGTCACTAGGATTGTTTTCATCCACAATTTTCTCATGTACAAACTAGGGTTTGACTCGCCGTCCTAAGGCTAAACGAACTGCAGATGTTTGTACCATCTTCGTCAAGAAAAATGATTATGTAGACCCACATACTGGGCTGGTCGAGTCAGGACACATGTGCACAGTCTGTCAAAAGAACAGTGTTGCCGCGAGACAATGCTTCTTCAAGGGCAGCATGTCAACCCTCTGTACTCATATCTCAAGGCAAGTATTCCACATCAGTGATTGATGTATTTATGCTGACGACAGAATACAGGCATCGCAATCATATCAAGGTTTATCAAGAACATTGCAAGAAATTAGATATTCCCTTGAACGAAAGGGCGTGTCCAAAGTCCAATGTGACTGGAACCCTTGACAGGTATATTTGATCCTGCACTGACATTTGACTTTGTCATTAACTTACATTTCAGTCAACGAAGTCTTGATGGGATCGTAGTTCATCAGCCATGCGCACCTGCATTTACAACCAGCAGCCTTCTTGACTATGTCGTTGAGTTGATTGTGTGTGAGGACAAGGTAAGGCTATACCATCAAGGTAGGAGCAACATAGCAACATCTAATTCAAAACTACAGGCATTCCAACTTGTGGAAAAAGGCCCATTCCATCGCCTACTAACTTACCTCCAACCGTCTTTGTCTGACAATGACATTCCGCGCTGTAAGGCCATTCACAAGGAAATCATGAAGAAAGCAGCAGCTACTGAAGCACGTCTGAAAGATATTCTCAAGGTGTTTTTCTTTCTCTTTATGATATCTACCATCTTAACAGTGAACTCGCTGCAGGATATACCTGGAAAAGTTTCGTTCACATTTGATGCTTGGACATCCGACCCTGGTGATCCATTTTTGTCTGTCACCGGCCATTATATCCACATACAACCAGATAAACCTAACGACTGGAAACTTTGAACCGAGCAGCTAGCCTTTTCGCCCATCAAAGGACGTCATACTGGAGCAAATATGGCTAATTTACTTGTGCGCACAGTTGACCGGTATAGTCTTCGTCTGAAAGCAATTTTTCATTTGTTTTTAATCTATGTGATACTAGATAACAATCAGGTTGGTTGGTTCACCTGTGATAATGCATCGAGTAACGACACATGCCTTGACACCTTTGCTGATATCATCAATGCCGATAAGGACACCGGTGTGAAGATGTGGGATCCTGTACAAGGACATGTCAGGTAACTGTGGTACGCATCTATATGTTTGCACATCTCATTGTTTGAACAGATGTATGGAACATACCATTAATCTTGCTGCTGGATGTTTTGTCACTACTGTCTCGCCGACATCAGCTTGCAAGCTTCTCAAAAAGATCAAGGCAGCATTCAAATGTGCTCAGCTGGAAGGTAAAGATGTTGATCTGGATGCTTTAGAGGCTGACTTGGAGGATGTCGATGTCGAGGGTGACCAGGAGGAGGAGGATGACAATGACAAGGAATTTGGAGTTGGGGACACGATCGGAAAGGCACTAGTGCTTGTGAAGCAGGTATGCTATCCTGCAGTCCTCGTTTCTGATATCTTACTGACTGGTATATATAATAGATTTGTGCATCACCACAGGCTCGCACTTTTTTTGCTCAATCGTGTAAGCAGGCAGATGTTCCTACCCTTGAGCTGATGCAGTGGGTGTGGACACGCTGGGCTTCAATGCATAGTTTCATCTCACGCATGCTGTTACTTCAGAAGGCACGTCTCTCTCGTATACTATGTTTTAAAAGCTAATTGAGGCATCTCGGTAGGGCGTCAATCTTTTTGTTGAGCTCGCTGACGACAGTGAAGATGTTCCAAACCTCAAAGGGAAGTCCTATGCAGATTTTCGACTCGACAGAAGGGACTGGGAACAACTAAAATTAATGCATGAGGTTCTACAGGTTTGTCATTACAACTAGTTACATGTTTTATATTCTTTGTACACTGACAACAATGACAGGAACCAGCAAGTGCCACACAAACCTTTTCCAGCTCATGCGACCCTTCTGTCTGGCGGAAGATTCCTGTCCTTGAATTTTTACAGAAGTCATGGGAAAACATGGCCAAGCTCCCTCGATTTTCCAAAGTCAGTGATGCAATTCAAAAGGCTTTGGAAAATGTTGCGAAGTGGTATCACAAAACGAAGGATACTGACATATATTTTATTTGCCTTGGTATGTTCATACCTTTTCACTTATGATGATACTGATGAGTTACCGGCTTTGAAGCACTTGACCCCAATGTCAAGATTGCGTATGCCGAACATCAGTGGGACAAGGCATCATTTGATGTTGGCCTTGATAGGCTCAGACAAGTGGTAATGTTTTCCCTCGTGGTCGTCACAGGCTGATTAGTATATTCATAGTTTGATGAGTACTATGTGGCCCTGATCTCTGTTGCTGTAGAGGCCAACAACGAACAAGGGACATCTGACTTACATGGTCAGTATGGCCATTCTTGGGTGCTTGCAGCTGTGCAAGCACATCTCGCATCAGAACGCACCCAGCTGAACCCTCGTGCTTAACTTACGGCTCATCTTGGAAGTTCTCTCGAGCAGACTGATGATGTTGTAGGTTGGTGGGGGGTGAGTTTTTATGCTATCACAAGCATATGAGTTGACTAATCAAGATTTGTACAGCACCACCAGTCACAGTACCCGACTCTTTCATGCATGGCCAGGGACTACTTGCCCATACAAGGCTCTTCTACACCCTCAGAATGTGCCTTTTCGAGTGGCAGATTGACAGGAACCAAGCGATGGAACCATCTCAAAACAGATGTTTTTGAGAGCTTGCAGTTGTTGAAGAGTGCATACCGCAATGGTCACATGTCTGCCGCTAGTGATGCCAAGGAGCACTTGGATGCGCTGATTGCTGCCCTCCATGATGATGCAGATGAAGGTAGCGAGTAGTTATATTTTCTCTTTGTTATCTAGCTACTATCTTGCACTACTCTACATCTCTACTCTACGTCTCGGCCAATGAATTTTTTTTGGCTATTTGGACGGTCCAGTTCAGGGTTCGGACCCTTGATGAACTGGAACTGGACCATTATTGGACTGAACCGATGGTCCGGTCCACAGTTCTGTTTGTGGAGAGAACCGAACCATAGGTTCAGTTCTCGGTTCTGAGAATTTGCCAGAGAACTGGACCAAACTGGACCCATCCATCACTATGCTGGATGCAATTGGAGCTGCTTGATGTTGACGATGAAGGGTGGCTACAGTATGAACGACATGTTCAAGGTGCGTGTGTAAGATGCGGCGAGTTGTGGAGGTTGATATGGAGGAGTTGTAGAAATTGAATCTATGACACTTTGCTAACATCCAAGTATCAAGTATGACTCAAGCCACACACCTCCAATCAGAGGTTGTAGTGGTGGGTTAACCCTTAGCTCATGAAGCACATTGTTTAAGTCAAAATCCAAATGATACTTGTTGAAAACATAGATAGTCTGTTTATGGAGTTAATGTTTTCTGTGTTTGCAGTGAGAATACGACTTGCCTGGTCATGTGCACCCACTAGCTCACAAACATTGTCGGTATGCAAGCGTGTGCCATTGGAAAGGTAAGCCAAGATAGCGTCCTGATCAATGCCCGTCTCCTGATTCAAGAATGCCTCTAGGCTTCCTCGCCTGTAAAACAACCGTTAGTGCGGTCTAAAACTGGGCATATACTTATCTCTCAATGTCTTGTAAGTTAGCATTGACATGTTGTTTGACGTAATGAGCAGCAATTCAGCAGTGCTTGGAGGTGATCTGCGCAGGCAGATCGTCAGGCATCAAGAGAGAGGGTACTTGCTTGCCATCGAGGCAGGCATTCTAAATGAACCTGCAGAAGTTGCAAGAGTGTGAGCACTGCAAGCGAAGGAAGGGGGCGAATGACTCACCTGTTCATCATTGTATTGGGGGAAGGCAGCCTGTCAAGAAGAAAAACTTGCCCGCAATTTCAAGTGTCTTCGAGAACGCAGCTCCCTAGCTTTTGAAGGCTGGCTGGTGTAGCCAGTGGTGCACGTGGGGCGTTTCAGAATTCACGGAGATTGCAGAATCAATAAGAGGATACTGCATGGCGACCTTGCGAGAGAGATGGAATGGGCATGGTCTAGCCAAGTGGGTGAGAGGACCTTTCATCCAGTCAGTTGTCGTCCATGATGTGTTCAAGTTGGCGTCAGCACGTTGCAGGCGGTGAGCATGCTGGTTGTCAGCGCGAAAAATCGAGCACCAGTCTGAGCCCAGCGTCAAATCGGGGATTACATCCAACAGTTCACTTGTACTTGCCTGATCATGCTTCCCTGGTTTTGCAGACGTGACCACCGATGTAACTAGGCTGGCTTGGTTCACGGTGGTATACTATACACGCAGACTCAGTCAAGTCAATAGGTTATGATAATAATACTGTACTACTTACCACGGCCTCAAGGCAGGCCTTTCCAGGAGCGATCTCCTGAGGAGTCCATCATCTTTCAATATAAGCTAGCTTATAGTTTAGGTTGAGAACTTCAACTGTGTGAGAAACAACAATGCAAAGCAGGAAACACAAAAGCTCACTGAGACAGATGGGGTAAATGTCCAATTCACTTGCCTTCTTGCAATATTTTTCGACATTCTTGAGTCCCTGTTGGATGGCATCGGTAACTGACATGTACCATCCATCACTTGCCATCAATCTCTAACAATCATCAAGACATTGGAGTGTAGGGATCGTACTTAGGCTGTTGGGTGTTTCGCAGATGAAAAAGATCGTTGTGCAGTAGCAGGCCCCTACAATAGGACATCAGAAAACAAGCAAGGTGGTATTCCATGGCGACATACCTTGAGAACATCATGGACTTTCCAGTCTGCACGTTCGAGTTTGAAGCCTTGATAAGACTTCTTTCGAAACTTTGATGCCTCAGAACTCTCCATCCGGGAGAGTTGTGAAGCGGGTAATAGCCTAAAAATGAATGAAAATATCGAAGGTAGCGTTTCATGGTTCACTCACAGGACAAAGAGCAATGAGACGCTCGAACTTGTCTTCGCATCTGATGAGAATGTCGCATTAAACAATGGAAGAAAATCTTCTGGAACCAACTCAGAATGAATCCTGAGCATCGTGAGGTTCGGAACCGTTCGGAACCGTTCAAGAACCAATGAAAAACTGACCTATACAAACCAGACAAAGAACCATACATACTTCGGTTCGGTCATGTTCGATGGTGTCGCAGTGGACCAGACTGTCGTGGAACCAGACCATTGATCAGGTTCGAACCACGGCACCTATAGTTTGACTGCCTGAAACGTAGACACTGCAGATAGAAATCGGTAACCAAAGTGATAATGATAGGGATAACACAATATAAATAAAAATCCAGTCAAACGTACAGAAGGCGTAATATGACATATCAATACAATAGTTATGCATGTTCCACACTGCACTTCAAGGCAAACTACAACTACAGGCGAGAGTGTCACATGAGCGCAGAGCCATTGGAGGATACAGAATCATCAAACCAATCGTCAAACCAATCGTCAGCCCAATCATCAGAGGCATTGCCGGGTAGATGCGATTTGTAAGTCATAGCACTTCCAGAGGATGTGCATGTGCCTACAGTCACATTAGTGAGACAACAAAAGTAAAAACTGCAGACCCACCATCATGAGTACATTGAATCCCAGCAGTGCGTGCAATAGCTTCAGAAAACATGTCCACCTCGGACTGGGCACGTCATTTCATCAGCTGCAGAATACAAAAATCAGACTTGAGTACATCCAGCAGTTTGTCTTGAAGCTGTCGTATTTGTCGAGGTAGAAGGGGTTCGTGTCTACACAGGATGCGCTAATGTAGTCACTGTATGTGACGTTACTAACCCAGGCCTTTATCAAATAAGGCAGGGGAAGAAATGTGTCGTTGGTCTGCATAGTGTCAGAACACCGAGTCCCTCAAAGTAGAATACCACTGACCTTTGAGACATGTTCGTAAACTTCTCGAGTTTGTGGGAAATTCATCTGAAACTGCCATGACGTGGAAAGCCATGCCTTGCATTTTTCTCGAGTAGCTTTTGATACTCGAGAGCGATCAAAATCGACCGACAAGGCATCATCATGAACAGAGAGGGGTGTTCCTACATGCATGACAGGGTTATCTCTGAGAATTTCTCTTTGCCATGTAGCTAGGGGAAGAAGATTGGTGTCAAAAATCATGTCATGAGAGAATGACTTACATGGGTGGTATTGGGTGTTCAGCTCTTCATACACATTCACAATAGCTTTACTAAATAAGGAAACTTCCATCTGAGCTCGATACATCCTCTGCTCCATCAAGCAACACCCTCCTTGCACAAGGAAGGTGATGCTAGTGTACTCTTCCTGCTGGAGCCGTCTCTCCACTGCGGAGACCCTGAGGCTTATGTGAAGGACAGCTATGAGATAAAGGGAGTCAACCCATCCAAACAGCACAGATGCTGTAATCAAAAGAGAGTCTGGAAGCTAAATTCATGTTACGAGAAAACAATATGCAAAACATGTGAGTGCACTAACAATTTCACGTCCCTGTTTCTGCAGCCAAGATTTCAGGGCATTCTCAGTGTGTTCACCAAGCAAGTATCTTGTCGCAGGAGTGTTACATGTAGGAAGAAAAGCTGAACTGATATTTAACATATTGAAGTGGGGGGCAACAAGAGGCTCACATGTGATTGTTTAGGGCTTTCAAGCAAGTTTAGAGGCCATGGCTGTGCAACAGCGGTTCTAGCAGTGGTGGCTGTATGCTGGCGGTCTATAAAAAAACACAGCATGAGTAAGTAATTAAAAGAATTACCAAATATCTATGTATGACGTGGAAAGTCCATCAGATAATACGCAAGTCCTGTGTGATGATTTTTTGAGTGTACGATCGGTGGGCTTAGGTATCATTGCTTACTGGAGGGTTGTAGACGTACTTGCTCGTTCGCATGAACCATGCCTGCGGGTCATAGCTGCCACAATCTGACTTGGGTTGCTGTAGTTACCACATCAGCGGGTTAGATCATGCTACAGAGTGCTACGGAGCGCTTTGTAGCACTCTGTAATCATGTGTAATGAATTATGTTTCCCTGATGCATGACGAGCTTCTTAGTCCTCACATATCTCAAGATTCACAACACAACGCAGGGCCATGTACATTCAAACCCAACTGATGACTCCACAACATATAGAAAGCAAATTATGTTTCAGCTCGACTTATTTGCGGCGGGCGATCTTGACGACATCAGTTTTCCTGCATGTTGCATTCCATTAATCAGTAGCAATAAAGTGAATATCATGTCGACTCACCTCAGGTTACAAAACTCTGTGAGGTAAACCCGGAGTACCGGGAGTTCTGGGTCATCTTCCTGTGCGAAGAGGACCATAGCCATCCCAAGAAGTCCGTCATAAACCTCGCTAACAGAAGGGAACTGTGACAATTCAATGTCGACTCCCCCTGTCTTAACCATGTCTATCAGATAGGACAATAGGGCGCTGTAACACTGACACAATGGGGCACATTTAGATGAATAGGAATCCATGACGCAGAAAAGCGACTTACGCAGGCCCCTGAAAACGCCAACGGAATATTATATGAATGAGCTCCTGACCGCAATCTAGAGCTGTGCGACTTATCCCGACCGCAGCGAGGCTTCATTGGAAGAGCTCGTGGACAAATTGTGCCCTTTCCTTGGTGCAATTCAGTTGTGTGAGTAAGAACAGATTGATGGGTTTTCCAAGGGCAACATCAGATGTCATCTCGACCCTCAAGTGAACGAGGACCATTTTCCACTGGGCATACTGCTCTTGAATGACGCTTAGTGTGTCTGGACCGTCTGCTTGCTGCACTTCAGGTTGCGTGACATTGTCGAGATTTGTCATGCAACCAGTCATGTTCACAGAAGGATCACGGGAATCCCCCACTGGGGGTACCTCAGGGACAATCAGGGTTCGTCCAAACAGGAGTATGTCAAACACAGGAGGCTCTGGCTCCGGGACAACGAGAGGTGGCTGAAACGGCTGATAGTCATTGAACTCCGGGGAAATTATGGGGGTTTGAAATACATTGTAGGTTGTGTAGTTGAATCTAGCGATATTATGTTGATACATATGATCGTCCTTCAGGATAATTGTATTTATATCCCATTCATCTTCTACTCCTGGAGGGCCTTTGGAGGTATTAATTCGACATAAGAGGTGTTCCTTCAGTTTCGGAACAAAGTTCTGAAAGAGCGTGTTAAAAGGAAGGCTCTCGATATAGTAGTATATGACCTACTTCTATGGCTGAATCACCGGGGTGGCTAATTAAGTACGATCCTATATGTACAGGATACTTTTGTGTGAGGCCAATATGATGATGAGCTTGAGGGCTTCTTGCTACCTCGGAAATTTCGACATGGGGGCGATGAACAACAGTGTCACCCATATGACGAATACAATTCTGACGGCGCTCGATCCGAGTCAGCTGTTTAATAAAAGATTTGCAATCAGTACAACAATATCTTGCCTTGGGAGAACAGTGTTCGAGTTCACCCTGGAGAAGTCAAGTGAGGGAAGTTCATATAGTTGGAGATTATAGGACAGACCGGTTCAGTGCTATAGGAATCAGATGTTCCATACCGATGAATAGTAGACACATAGTCTCCCAACGCGTGAAATTTATATGTTTGAAAATTGAATGCTTTGGTGCATTTCACATTCTTGGCTGATACCTCCGAGTCATCCACCTCCGGTTGCCCTACGACACGAGTAGGTCTTGTGCCTTTATGCCCTACCTGATTAGCCTCCTTCTTCGCATGGCGTCGGGCACGAGACCTGACTTCCTGGCCAAGCTCGTGGGTCTCATAAGCATCGCAAACTGTGGCCTTGAATTGGTGAAACTGTTGGCCAAGCGCCAACATCACGTGGTCCATGATCTCGAGGGTCAGATCAGAATGCATTCTGAGCCTAGCTAGCCCATGCCAATGAGCCATGGTGAATAGTAACTTAAGAACAGTCTGATTATGTGGCTCCGGAAGAAGACCATCAAACACAGGGATAGAGCACTGTACATTGTGTTAGCCTATCCCAGTTGAATGACGGTAACAACATGCCTGAAGGAGATCTTCAAAGTTTCTAGCCACCAAATGTTTCATCTCGGATGAATTGGCTGAAAATCTTCGAATGGTGGCTGAGCCAAACATTGGAGTCTGCCTGTATCTGACAATAGAAATCAGCTGAATCAGGCAAGTGACACATATCATACATCATACCTCTGATCCAATCGATGAATGAGGCCCGGGTCCTGCGCCGTAATGATGCGCAATAAGTGAATAAACAGCATCTTCCATACACCGATCTCAAACTCGTGTAGTAGATCCACCACAAGAGCATGAAATATACTGAAACTCATATGTCCAAGGCGGTCTGAGAATGCATTCTAAGATGTAGTTAGTCATTGATGGCAAATGCAAATTGAGTGAAAGTCTTACTGAGGTAGGCACCCACAACTGAGGCTTCAAAATGTGTTCCACTGCTGCGCTGCTGACTGCGAAGTTGTGCTCATAAATCAGCGAGTGGGCGTCATTCACGAGCATTCTCCTTTTCTCATCACTGCGAGAAAGGGTCTGACGTTGTTGTCTGTCTTGAGGCATGCCCATGTTCTGAATACGATTCTTAGGTATTAGGCAGCGGGGACATGGACACCCTCCTAAGTTTCAAACAGTAGCTATAAGTACTCTGGTGAAATTAGAATCAATACTATTTAAGATACAAATTGAGTATATGTACTTTTCTGGATAGTCTGCAGAATAAGTGAAGATCCTCGGGTAGAATCTGCGCATGATACCATCACAGCAAGACACCACAATGCCATGCTCGTATGCCTCGAGGAACTCATTGTCCAGTAGAATCTTCCATTGCTCATGAAAGAAAGCTCTGTGACAATGTGTTGCGCACTCGCTGTTCATGCCTTTCCCATCTGTGAAGGCTTTAAATGAATTGGGGAGCTGGTAACACAACGTTAAGTATGCAGCAGATCAAACAATGTAGCAAGCAAGACGGACCATTTCAAAGTAGGCAACATGATTGCTCAAATTGAGCGATGGCTTGCAATGATGATACTTGGACTCGTTGCCAAAGTACATGTAGGTAGGCCACAGTTTGGCAGTGCCAAATGAAGTGAGTTGTGTGGTGTCAGACCAAAACATGAGGCCAGCCACCACTTGAGGTAAATCGCAGCCAGGCTCCCCCAGTAATTCTTGCAGATCGCTGTGGGCTTTGTGAAAAGCAGTAGACGTGTACAAGTCCCCATAGACGGTGACTTCGACATCCAGGTGAGGGGGATTCCAACGCAGCTGGTACGGCTCGTAATGGAAGAGCTTATCATCCTGGGCATTAGCTAGCTTCTCTCGCAAAACACCCACGAGAGAATGGTGGTATAATTCTGCAGCATGATAACGCCGTGACCCTGGTGTTTCAGTGGTGCGCGCAAATGGCACCTCGATGGACACCAGTGTCCTCTTCCATCCAGCGTCTGCATCCTCCCATTCCTCTCCATCTGCCTCGTCATAGTCATTGGTGCCAAGCTGGGAGTTGATTTTTTTCCAATGGGTAGAACATATGTCGGCAACCTTGAAGGTACTGTGACCAATAATTTTCATCAGCTTCATATAGTCTGCTTGCAATTTTTGCAAGTCTTGATTCCAATACCAATCACCAAGCTCAAATGAAGAACAATTAGGATATGGATGATACTGAGAGTCACCGCTCGCAGCAAGAGGTGCATGTTCTTCATCATTGACCTGAGGGTTGTGCGGTATAAACGACAGGTCTGTGATGGCGATGAACTGTTCTGGATTGTGGAATGGTACTTCAGGGGAGAAGTATTGATGCACAAGCCCAAAGATATTTGGAGGGGTGTGCAATACCATGTGTACTGGTGAGACAGGTCGATGATCTGCAGCGACAATAGATACCACAGGTGCAAGATGACAGTCGCGAGTTTCCAATGGAACAGCAGGCGGAGGCTGTGGAAGCACATCTCTGAATCTTAGTGGCATCCGGCGGTTCTGATGTCTCGGCCAGTGCTGTGCCAGGGACATGTCCTCTACGTCATTTTCTGCTCCCTCACATGCAGGAGGGACACCTGCTCCTTCAGAAGCTAGTGACAAGTGAGGCAGAGATGGCACTGTCACTTCGAGATCTGATGCTGTCGAAGGACTGGCTTGCCCAGAGGCCAGTTGGCTGGCAGATGGTACATTGAGCGATCCAGCCACCCCCATGGGCCCAGCCCCATCGTGTGAGCTGCGCAGCTTCTTCCTATGGATTAAGAGTTCCTTGACAGATGATATGGCCGATGAAAGACGCTTTTGGTCTGAGAGCATGACTGCTGGTGGTAGTTGAAGTAGTTTTGCGCTGTAAAGGTGCGCTTACAGATGCAGGTGTAACCAGCAGCTGACATGGAAAAAAATGCAACAAGGGGGGATTACACCATCCAAGATATCATGCAACAATATAATCGAAGCCGAATACACAAGAAATCTACCGAAGTTGCAGAAATTTATGACCATGATCACCGAGTACCTGACAATGGAGACCGTGATTGCCCAGTACCTGAAAATGGAGACCACGATCGCCCAGTACCTGAAAATGAATACCACACTAGCTGAGTGGCCGAAAATAGTGATCGTGGAATGGTGGCATGTCTTGCAGGGATGCTTAAATGCTCCAAGTATGAGAGTAAGGCATCTTACATGCCCCAGGAATGTCTACACACTCTTCTCTACATCCTGAAGCACTGGAACATCTGGTATTTAAAGCTGACCCTAAGATCGTCAAGATGCTGGTGAATATCTTGATTTGCCGCCATGGGATACTGCATTATCACGGCCCAACGGGAGAACTAACCATGTATCAATGGTTAATCAATTAATTTTATGAAACACTCAATGCACTCACCCGAATGACAGGCCAACCAATGGATATGGACACAAAATTCATCCATCACAGTTTATGATGTATCATGAGACGCATGTCTTCCGTTACCCATCTTGCCTTTGCTTTAAGGGTGATAGTTATGTCGAAGCTTTAGTTTTTAAGTGAACTGCAGGGATATGTAGAGAAGAGTATGTTGCCAAATGCGCCACCAGTACTTGCGTAAGTTGGCTTCCTTGAAATCAAGGAAGGGGTGGCCGACACTTAACTCAGTGAATGTAGAAAAGTTCTTTGAGAGAGCCTATGTACTGGCTATGCATTATCCATGCAAAGGTATACTTGTTGTATATCCATGTCTTCACACACTCATACTCTCAAGAGTATTGCCTGCCCTGCATGCTCCCACCATGTGATGACGACCACCAGGAATCACTGCATTCTTGGCTATATCTGCAACGGTGTCCCCCACATCAAGATCCTAGTAAAAATTACCTGTTGTAGCTATCAGTATCTAATTCTAAGATTCAAGTTTAGCACCAATGAGATTTATGATGCGATGCATCCAAGATCAGAGACAATGCCCTCCCGGGACATTGCACGAGCCTGATGGGTGCCCATCAGGACATTCATTAATCCTATATAGATGCATTAAAGACTTGATTATACTGGGTGATGGGTATCTCACCACCTTGCAGCGCCGTATGCGATATCCCAGCATAGTTGACACTGCTAGACGACTTAACCCTCAATACGTCGTTGGATGAAAGTTATATTAATAATTTGACGCATATGGCGCCAGACTTCATGACTACAATAATTCTAAGTGCTTGTAAATCAAGTGACTACTGTTACAATAACACTTTTCTCCTGCTTTGTTGTTCTCTTTGTTTGATAACATGCCTTCCATCTATGATCACTTACCTTTCTTGGATCATGTACTTATATCTCACGACTACCTTGGTCTGTGCGCGCATATTGACTTATTTAAGCACGTGTATTAGCTTTGTAGAACTTCACTTGAATCTTACTAGGTTTTACCAGAACTTCCTTTGCTTAAGACCTCCAATCTTAAGTCATCTGAACTAGCATTCTTAGTTGAAGCACTCCTTCGACTAAGTCTTATAGAACCCCTTCTTTTCTGAAGGACTCTACAAATCTCAACAGTCGAAAGACTCTGTCGAGTCCCTGTTGTTAGA